CCTCTAGCACAAGGCAATGCTGAGATTGATCAATTATTGATTGGAAGTGTGTTGCAGGCCTCAGAATTTCATAAGAAGCATCATGTCAATAGTAAAGGCCTAAAGAAAGAATTTTCCATTACTTGGCAACAAGCTAAGGACATTATAAAGAGATGCCCTACTTGTTCTTTCTATAATCAAACACCGTTGCCTGCAGGGAGTAACCCAAAGGGTACTAAGAGAAATGAAATCTGGCAGATGGATGTGTTCCACTTTATGGAATTTGGTAAATTAAAATATGTACACCACACCATAGACACGTATTCAGGTTTTCAATGGGCTACTGCCCTGAGCTCAGAAAAGGCTGATTCAGTAATCACACATTTATTGGAAGTTATGGCCATCATGGGTATACCTGCGCAAATAAAGACAGATAATGGTCCAGCATATGTATCTAAGAAAATGAAACGCTTTTTTGATTATTATAATATAAAACACATTACAGGTATACCAAATAATCCTACAGGTCAGGCAGTTATAGAAAGATCAAATCGTACTATAAAGGATATGCTGAACAAACAGAAAGGGACCGAAAATACCCCCAGAAATAGATTACATAATGCTTTATTAACCTTGAATTTTCTTAACGCTAATGAGAAAGGAACGACAGCAGCAGAAAGACATTGGATAATGGAAAAGTCTGCTGAACTAAATCAACCGATTTATTTCAAAGATGTGCTGACCTCTCAGTGGAAGCCAGGAGATGTGCTACGTTGGGGAAAGGGTTTTCCTCTTGTTTCCACAGGAGAAGAAAAATTGTGGATACCATCAAAATTAATTAAGTTTCGATTGAAGAGGAGAAACCTCTTGGAAAGGAGAAATGACAACTCATCCACAATGATGATATTCATACAGGTGGTAAGAAAAACACAGAATGGGGGCAGGGTTCTGTTCTTATCTCCACAGGAAAACACTCATCTTTGAGAAATTCAAGGGACCCTGGATGTTTGGATACTGACAGATGGAAAAATACCTGCCCAATAGGAAATATCAAGACAACTGAATGGGTTGTGTAAGTAAATATTAAACCATATTTCTAAATTTATAAAGCTGGTTTTGAAGTTGGACTCTGGCTCAGTCCCTCTCCAATTCCAAGCCTGTTAGTAAGAGAAAAACCCAGAGTTTCTGGAGTTTCTGTCTCATGTCAAGAGCCATGATATGGGACAGAAAGAAATATGAGTTTAGAAAACATCTTTGCTTTTCTTCATATCTATCATACTTTTCATTGAATATATCTATCATGTCTTTCATTGAATATATATATATATATGTCTATATATGTCTATATGATTAATGTTTAAGTTTTTCATAATGAACAATGAGTTTTTCCTGAAGTGACATTTGAAGTTTCCAGGAAGAAGATGGGGCCCCATAACAACAACTCCACCTGGTTGATATGACGTCATGATACTGATAGCGCTACTACAAGACCTGCTTTTGGTACCAGCTGCACAAGACAGTTCCAACTTGGTTAGCTGAAATGGTGCACATCTTATACAACATTTTGGCCAGACCTGCACAAAATACTCAGAGACTATTGGCAATTTTAAAAGACATTGATCTTGAAATTTAACCATCATTTCACTTTCACAGGATCCCCCAGAAAGAACGTCGCCCCCATGACAGCTGGAAGTAATTCTAGAGGACGACGTCCCTTTTCCCAGTAAAACTTGCCCTTGGGTTTAGGGACATCATTGAGGGGTTGATTATAATTAGTATACGATTGAGGGTTGGGGGAGGAATTTTATACGCTCAGGGATCATTTTGAAAAAAAAAAAAGAGGGATGATGGGATAATAGATTTGTAATTGTGAGTTACTGTTTTTAGACAAATACATTGGTATAGATTCTTGTATATTGATACAAAGTTAAATTATATTGACTATTGTACGCATGCATGTTTCTACCTCTGTTTAAAACATTTTTTATGTATTGACATATATTGTATTGATATATATATATATATGTATATATATATATATATATATTGTATATATTTACCACATTGCAGTGTACATTTCTACCTCTGATTAAGATACTTATATAATGATTGTGTATTGATATATATTTACCTACTGCAATGTATATTTGTACATTGTTTATATATGGAGGTCATTGTCCTCATTTGTTTCACAGTCGTTTATTGTCTTAGTCTTTAAGTTAGATAGATATTGAGAATTATATAGACTAATAGTCATCTAAGTTTGTCATTTATAATAGACTAATCAGGTTCTTTAGATATATAGAGATTATACTCAGTATAGATAGATAATCTTCAACTTCTTCAAAGAGCTGTAGAAAATGGCCTTTAATCTAACTCAGAATTTTGTGGTAGTGAGACACAACTGCTCCTGGCAACACCACTCTATTCCCGAGAGAATGTTGAACACCAAAGACACTCCACCTGGAGCCTTTCTTTTTGGCAGAACTGGCGTTTGGGCAAAGAAATGCCCATACCTCAACAACTGACAAAGATACAGAGCATGCATCAATGGATAAAACAGGACTGTCATATCCTGCCAAGACAGGGTAAGATAGTTTTGAAAAGTTGCTTGCCTTAGAAAATGGTATGTCAGTTATGTTAGGCCTTAGCCAAAGTTGGTTGTTTCAACGCTGCTAATGTGACTTTGGGTGATTGCCCAGGTAGCTAGTTGTCTCTGTAATTTGTTGCATGTTTTGGAAGTTGTTTTACTGAACTTCCTAATTACCCAGGTAATATTATTTCCCTTCTCAGATCTTCGATGGGGTTGAAGACTATATAAATGTAGTTACTTTCTCTCATGACTTGGCCAAGTTATTTATTATACAAGACCTAAGCTAGTTAGAATAGGATATTTGTACTTATTGTATATAACTTCATAGTAGGTTTAGAACTCTCTTATTTAAACAAAAGGGGGAGGTGTTGCGGGAGGTCCTCCCACTCCTCCAGCCTATCACCGCTGAGGTACCAGCCCACTGGGGTGTGGTTTCTCTCCCTTTCAAAAAGCGGCCACTTCCCTCTCCTCTCTCTCTTCACTTCCTGCTCTGCCTGCGACTAGACTCCTTTCCTGGTTGCGAAGAGGGCTGTTGCCTGGGACAGTGATCTGTAAGTTTTTTCCCCTTTAAATAAATACCACCCTAATAATCATAACCCCGAATTGGTGTGGCATTGTTTGTGACTTACGCCTTCACTCTAAGATATCAGTCTTATACCAATTAGAACGACCAACATGAAAAACACCAATGATATCTTATGCTGGAGAGGATGTGGACTAAGGGAAATACTCCTCCATTGTTTGTGGGAATGCAAATTTGTGTAGTCACTTTGGAAACCAGTATGACAGTTTCTCAGAAAAATCTGCCTCAGGACCCTGCAATGTCACTCTTGGTCATATAAACAAAGGATGCACACTCATACCACAAAGACCTTTGCTCAGCTGTGTTCATAGCAGCATTATTTGTAATACCCAGAATCTGGAAACAACCTAGATGCCCCTCAACAAAAGAATAAATAAAGAAAATATGGTACATTTACACAATGGATTATTATTCAGCAGTAAAAACAACAACATGTTAAAATTTGCATGCAACTGAATAGAGCTTGATAAAACAATCCTGAGGGAGGTAACCCAGATACAGATAGACAAACATGGTAGGTACTCACTCATAACTGGATAATAGATGTAAAGCAAAATATAACCACAATTCCAGAGAAGCTAGGTAATAGGGAAAACACTAAGAGAGACATACATGGATGTCAACAGATAAGACAAGACCTTCTGAAAAAATTAGAAGGGGAAGGAGAAGGGAGGATGGAAGGGGAGGTGGAGGAGAGAAGAGGAGGGCAGAGGACAGTATCAGGGGATGGGATAGTCAAGAAGGAGAAGGACAGTGAGGGTGAGAAAGAAAAGAGATGTCATGATTGAGGGAGCCATTAAAGGGCTAGCAAAAAACATGGCACTAGGGCAATTCCAAGAAATCCCTAAGGATGATCCCAGCAACAGAGGAGAAGATGCCTAATCTGGCCTTCCCCTACAATCAGATTGGTGACTACCTTAATTGTCTTCATAGAACTTTCATCTAGCAACTGTTGGAAGCAGATACAGAGATCTCCAGTGAAGCACTGGGCTGAGCTGCCAGAGAGCAGCCCAAGAGAAGAAGGAGTGATGATATGAGCAAAGGTTTCAAGACCTTGATGGTGATACCCACAGAAACAGCTGATCTGAGCTAGTGAGAGCTCACTGACTCTGGACTAATTGCAGGGGAACCTGCAGAGGACCAAACTAGGCCCACTGAATGTAAGGGACATTTGTGAGACTTGGGTAGTCTGTGAGGCAACTGGCAGTCGGACATTCTATTTGGAGGGGCACCTTGTTCAGTGTAGAAATGGGGAAGAGCCTTGGTCTTGCCTCAAAGTGAAGTGTCAGAAATTGTTACCCTTTCTGAGGAGTAGATGTGGGTGGGGTAAAGGGAAGGGTAGAACAGGTCGGGAGGAAGTGGGAACTGGAATACCTATGTAAAATGAGAAAAGATTGTACTTAAAAATTATTAATAAAAATAAAAGTTGATAAAAAAGAATGCTCATTTCAGCATTGTAGATATAATTGCAAAAATAGTGACTCATATGTCTGCTTCCTGTTAAGTAGATAAATAATTGTTGTGTCACCCATACATCATAAATAAATATTAAAAACAAGATAACTAAACAAGCAAACTGATTTAAAAAATTTTAGGACATTTCCCTCTAGAAGGAGAGCAGAGTGTGAAATTATAGGATGTTTGCCTATTTTTAAAAATCTACTTTTCAATTTAGAGAGCTATATTATTTTTTATTTAAAATTTTTTTTTCAGGAATGTACAAATGTCTTTATTCAAAAATACAAAATAAATTACCTGTAGGCATGGACAATGACAGCAGTAAACCATTATGTATTGTCAATGGGAACCAGTAACTGATGGTTATAGTGATCAGCCAGCCTTGTTTTCATTTTCTTCAGGGGCTTCTCTGAAGGTATCGGTGAGGAATCTGCCTTGAGCTTCCTGTCACAGTTCATTGGTAAGGGCAAAGCGCTATTCTAGGAATTAGAACATGCCACCTCCCATTCCCCCTCCCATTCCCCCCATCGCGCCCATTCCAGGGTCCTTCTCTTCTTTAGGAATTTCGGTTACTACAGCTTCTGCTATCGTTAGCAAGGAGGCCACCCCAGCAGCATCCAGTAAAGCAGTTCTTATGACCTTTGTCGGATCAATGATTCCCTTTTCCACCATGTTCACAAATTCCCCGAGCATGGCATCATACCCAACTTCCGAGGAACTCTGCAGAATCTTCTCAACTATCAAAGACCCTTCAACATCCGCATTCTTAGCAATGGTCATCGCGGGAATTTTGAGTGCTCTTTTAATAATGTCTATACCTATTTTCTGATCCTCATTGGAAGGCTTTAGGGAATCCAAGACTGGAATGCAGTGGAGCAGAGCACAGCCCCCACCTAGCATGGTGCCTTCTTCCACAGCTGCTCGCGAGGCGTTGAGCGCGTCTGTAATTCTGTCTTTCTTCTCGTTCACCTCCACATCGCTTGTTCCTCCAACCTTCAATACAGCTACGCCATCTGAGAGTTTTGCGAGCCGCTCGTTCAGCTTCTCCTTTTCGTATTCACTAGTGGTGATGTCGAGCTGCTCAGTGATCTCCTGAATGTGTTTCTCAATTTGAGCCTTGTCACCTTTTCCTTTCAAAAGCATGGCGTCATCTTTAGTGACAATGACCTCTCCAACTTTTTCTAAGTCATGAGCTTGAACATCTTCAAGGTTTAGATTCAACCCCTCTTCTCCAAATACCGCACCACCAGTAGCAATAGCCATATCTTTAAGCTGGTTCTTCCTATTGTCCCCAAACCCTGGTGCTTTGACTGCCACAACCTGAAGACCCACTTTCAGACTGTTCAAGACCACTGTGCTTAGAGCTTCTCCATCAACGTCCTCAGCAATGATAACCAAGGGCTTCCGATGAGCATTGGCAATTTCCAGAGCAGGTACGATGAACTGCACACTAGAAATCTTCTTTTCGCTCAACAGAACATAGGCGTCTTGGAATTCACATTTCTGACCTTTTTTTTTAACTTTTTTTTTTATTGAGAAAAGAAAAAAAAACAAATTTCCTCCTCCTCCCAGCCTCCCATTTCCCTCCCCCTCCTCCCACCCTTCTCCCCCTCCCCCCACTCCTCTCCCCCTCCCTCTCCAGCCCAAAGAGCAGTCAGATTTCCCTGCCCTATGGTAAGTCCTAGGTCCTCCCCCCTCCGTGCATTTCTAGGAAGGTGAACATCCAAACTGGCTAGGCTCCCACAAAGCCAGCACATTACGTAGGTTCTGAAGAAATTTATATATGTATTCTCTATTTACATAATTTACACTTTTCCTTCTTCCTTTCTAATTTCTCTGTTCTTCCTACCAATTCCCTCTAAAGTTCGTTATCACTTCTTTAATTATCACACACATACATATGCACACACATCCACTGTAGTCCATTTAGTGTTGCTTAAATGTGCAGGAGTTTACGGCTTGCCATTTTGGATTTACTGACTTATTTGACCTCATTCTCCCTCTATTAGCAGCCATTGATTGACTATATCTCTTCATCTAAAGGTGGTTCTTCTGAAATGCCCCTTACTTATTTTGACCAGTGAATGATTGTTATAATGATACAGGTGTTGGTTAGGCTACTATAGTTGAAAGTTCATTGGTGCAACTTCCTGTCAAGTCTGGAAAACACTATCTCACAACAGGTGTTCTGGTTCTCTAGGTCTTACAATCTCTTCTACAACTTTCCCTGAGCCTTAAGTGTAGGGATGCATTATAGATATATCAATTGGGATTGAGCATCCTATAGTTATTTATCCTTTGTATTTTGACCAGTTGTGTCTTTTGGGAATAGTCTCCAACTACTACAAAACAGAAGCTTCTTTTACAAGGATGAAAGCTATACTTATTGTGTATATATAAATATAAGTGTTTAGAAATCAGTTAGAAATTATTCTGGTTTAGAAAAATGTCAGTAATGGGTTCTCCTCTAGAGTTCATAACTTCTCAAGCTACAGATATGATGTGGGAGTGTCATATATCAATCTGTTGATTTCATTGGTTAATAAACAAACTGCTTGGCCTCATAGCTTAGAAGATAGATGGGAGGAGTAAACAGAACAGAACACTGGGAGGAAGAGGAAGTGAGCTCAGACTCCACAGCTCTCCTCTCGGGAGCAGATGCCTCAGAGAGACGCCATGCTCCCAGCTCCCGGGCAGATGCACGCGATGAAGCAAGCCGCCAGGTTAGACATGCTGAATCTTTCCCGGTAAGACCGGTGCTCACAGATTATTAGAGATGGGTTGATCGGGATGTGAGAATTAGCCTGTAAGGGCTAGAGCTAAAGGCCCAAGCAGTGTTTAAATGAATACAGTTTGTGTGTTGTTATTTCGGGGCATAAGCTAGCCAGGCGGCTGGGGTGCCAGGGACGCAGCCCCGCCGCCCCTATTTACTACACAGATACGTAGGTTTGCATATGCCCTGCTTTTGAGCAGGTCTTACAGCCAATTAGATAGTGGTTGGTTAACCCCAAAGCCTAGTAGTTTTATTACTAATTAGGTAAGATTAAGTACATTTAAACTACAGCATGGTTGCCACTCTCTGCTTTTTAACAAAATTATAATTAGAATCTAAAGCAGTGGACTCAGTGTTTTGAAAATTCTTTCTAAATAGCAAATGAAGTCTTATATGTAAAGCAGGGTTTGAACACAGAATTTTCTATGAGAAGTGTAAGATGTTTTCTTTTTCATGGAACTTCCATGTCACTCTTAGAAGTTCAATGGACAAAATTTTCAGTGCTTAGCTCTCTAGCAATCATGGACCTCATTTGCTGTTTAGAAAGAATTTTCAAAACACTGAGTCCACTGCTTTAGATTCTAATTATAATTCTGGTTAAAAGCAGAGGGTAGCAACCATGCCATAGTTTAAATGTTATAGGAGATTCCTATAATATCTGTGTAATCCATAATTCATCTCAAGTCAATCTTTGCAATTCTCCCTAGCACATTATTTCTCTGATGATTGAATTTTCCCAGAATTAGATATCTCAAAACAAAAGACTGAATGCTTTTCTTTATCATATAGACTGTCTAATTTGAAATCTTCAAGACACATGGCACTTGTATAGAATCTGTGAAGACTTTTTTTCTATCAAGTCAAAAAGAATAATACACCCTTGGTCATAGTTTTGATTCTTATGTGAGTGATCATTAAAGAATACCTAAAAGCCAAGCAAGAGACGAAAGTGTTGTGTGATTGATGGTGGAAATTTCACCTTGTTACTATTTTTATTCAGGCTATTACAAGTCTTGGGTGATCTGATTACAAACAGAGTTCAGTGGTTTTCCACAGCTCTGTTCTTCCCATGAAACTTTTTTATTTACAGCATGCACTTATACAGCTACAAGGCATGAGAGCAGAAACATTCCTACAAGTGCTAAATTCACATGTCCATGTGCCAAGCAAGGTCTTCCCCACCTCTTTTCTAAATGAGATGTTTTTGACTCCATGCTAGGCTCTTGAAATTTCTGTCTCGTGCTTTTAATGATTCTCAGTTGCTTCCATTTCTTGTGGAAGGCGTTGCCTCTCAGTTTTACTTTTTATACCCTGTTATCTCACCTGATAGTGTACATTGTCTCAATTCTACACATGATCAACCTAGATGGAAAACTCAACCTAAACTGCATAAACACTTAGACACAATTGGCTCATGCAAAGCTGTGTTTGTGTGAGCTGATATTACTGAGAAGCATTAGCATAGTCGATATCTCAGACACAGCACTTCAAATTACATGTCTGCCAGCTTTGTTTCTGAGAGTACATTAAGATTGAAGGAATTAGTTTGGGTTCTCTATAACTCTAATAATTTACTGTGTATTTTGGAATACCTTGTAAGGCTTGAATGTATTACACATAGAAGCAATAAATGCTTGAAGATTGAGAGATGCTGGCCTGATTTGATCATCATATGTGAGACACATGTATTGAATTATTATACTATATTATTAATTATATTATATAACTATAATTATAGTAAAAATTATAATTGTACTATAATTTGTACAAATTTGAACAAATATTATGCCAATTAAAATATTGCAAAGGTATTTTCAACTTCAGCACCACCAGGGATTCCTCTAACATGCCTCAGCATGGTTCCTTCCTATATCTTCCTTCATCCTCTCTCTATGTCTTGATTCTCTAGCCAACCTTTACCTCTTTCCTTTCCCAAAGTAAAAGTGATTCCTATGTCCTTTCCTCTTCTCTCCCCTCTCATCCACTTCCCTCTCCTCTCCTCTCCTCTCCTCTCCTCTCCTCTCCTTTCTCCTCTCCACTTCTCTTTGATCTTACCAGAATTACTTTCTTTTTCCTTTGCTGCTGGAACTCTTGCTGACATCCATGCTTCAGAGACCCACTCTTTACCTATCTTCTCCTTAAGGAAAATTCTGGTAATATCTTCTGTTAAGGTCAGTCATGAATTTCCACTCACCCCTACTATTTACCTCCAATGCTTTTCTTTTTCAAAAGATTGTTTAAAAAAATGGATCCAGTGCCTCTAACTTGAACAAGGACATGAATGGTCTAAGACTCCTTGCTTTGTTATTTTAACTTGTTTGATGCTCATTTATTGTTGCTGAAAAAGTTGAGAGTGAGAGTTTTGCTGTCAGATATGTGCCCTACTGATGACTAAAGAGTCATCTAAGAGAGCACACACCCAAAGATCATCCTCCACAACTACCAAGAATTGGCACAGATCACAAAGCTGAAGCAGAAGAGAAGATTCACTTCTCTCTGATCCATGGTGGTTTTGATTTCACCTTTACTCAACCTGCCACCCAGTCAGAAACAATACTTACAAGCAATTTGAGTTTCCTTTCTGTTTCCAGTTGACACATGGTTATCACCTTCATTATATATGGTTCCCATTGGAGGACAAGAATTTGCAAAAAGACATTGACACTTTGCATATTCCTGGGTATCACATTTCCTTTTTCTTTATATATATGAATAGTTTTCCTTATATGTACATATCTACATTCAATGTGTGTTCCTGATATCAGCAGAGGCCAGGAAAGGGTGCTGGATACCCTGGAACTGGAATTATGGTATGAACTATTATGTGGGCATGAGGAATCAAACCTGGGTCTTCTGGACTAACAGTCAGAGATTCTAACCACTGAGCCATCTCTCTAGCTCCACAGATTTCCTATTTCTATCACTCTTTGTCTCTTCCAAAATTCATTGCCTGCTCTTATCTACTAGAAGCCTAAAATTGTTCCTGATATTCATCGTATTGACTGGAGAGGCTTGGGAAAAAAGTCCAGGGAAGCACATTTGGAGAATAAGAGAATAAGGTGTGAGAACTTGAGATCACAGACATCTAAGGACCTAGGGAAGGGACTACATCTCGATTTTAACTTGACATGAGCCATCTGCTTTCAACCCAATGATGCCCTGAGTGAGAGTGTACTCCACAGTGTGTTTAGGACAAAGGTTTTAAAACTTTTTCAACTTGAGTCTGAAAGCACAGGTAAAACCTATCTGCGGGAGAAAATTTCTAGGTCCTCACACAACTGAGTCATTCAGATAAAACCCAGCCCCAAGTAAACTTTGCCAATGAGCATAAGGCTGGACATCAGAGGCACTAAGGCAGGCTGGAGGCAATGGGGGATTGATTGAAGATGGTGTAATTACTGAGATGACAGGTCAAGTCTTTTCTTTGAAGCAGCTGTCCCAGAACTCCCAAGCTTGTGACTTGAAGTCTACAGAACCTCTTGCTCTTTCTGCTCCTGTGGATATTTAATGGTTTTATGAGCATGCACGAAAGAACTTGAGTGTTTAGAAGAACAGAAGAAGGCAATAAGTGGTCTCTGTTTTGTTTCTGAGTCGAAAGAAAAGTGATGTTATGTCAAAGAAGAGACAAATAGATCAGAGTGAGGCTGTCAGTTTCCTTTCCTTCTCTTCCTGTTTCCTACCCTAACCCTAGTCCTCTTCTCTACCTGCCCAGCTATGCTTTGGAGACTAAAGTTAGCTGAAACTTACTGCTGGGCATGAGATGCTTGTGTCCTCACTGTAACATTTAGAACACTCATTTTTGCTTACTCTTCTTTATGCACAGACATTCATGTATTTACTCTAATGTTCAGTCTGCTGGTGTGTTTTGAGGTCAATTTTTCAATCAAAGCTCAGCTGGGTACCATTTTTTGAGTGTGGATTTGGACAAAGCATAGATGTTTTCTGAATCTCTATTTAGAAAGTGGGTCAAGTAAATATGACCACTAAGTATCTGGGAGAGAATTTAATTACAGTCTTCAGTACTTGATAGATGTAATGACCATCAGTTATTATGAATAAGTGTTGGATTTTAAGATCATGAATTGAGCACATAATTATTAATCAATGGCTCTTGGCTAGTGTCATGTTTGACTATATCCCTCAAAGGTGGAAAAAGATAGTTTCTACTACTCTTCAGCATCCCCAGTATTATGAAAGCAATAAACGTGTGTGTGTGTGTGTGTGTGTAACAAAGCAACAGGATAAATGAGAATTTTGGCAGGTCTACTGAATATGATTAAAAATGAGAGGAAGCAGTAGCCTAAAAGAAGAACACAGAAACTTGGAGACATCTTCATCGAGGAAGGGATTTAATTTAACAAAATTTAGCAAAATTCCCTATGTGGAATGGAGTAAAGACTGTTCAAAAGGTGATGAAGTGTAAACAAATCAGAATTGGATTGCTGAATAGATGTCACTCTTTACTTTATTTTGATGGCAAGAAAAAGGATAGACAAGGAGGAAAGAAGAGCTACAGATCTGATTTTAAAAATGTGCAAGAACATGCATGCCCAAGGCTTTGCTTTGTGTCTGCATCAATTACATTTAGTCACTATCCTCAAACACTGATATAGACAACTGAAGTGAGGAAGTATCAGAGGGGTCAGCCCATGGCTGTGAGAATAACGTGGTGGGGTAACTCCCTTCATGATAAAGAGAAAGCAGAGTGAAGGAAATGCTGGCACTCAGCTGTCTTTCTCCCTTTCCTCTTTTATTATTTTGGGGCACAAGTCTTTGGGATGGTGCTACCTACTTCAAGGTGGGTCATCACTCTTCTATTAATCCTGTGGAAGTACTCTCACCAACACAGAGAGGCATGACTCATTAATCTCCTAGGTCATTTTAAAACAAGTTGAGTTGACAATTATCCACCCCAGAGCCTTAGTCTCTTTTCTGTTGTTATAACAGAAAACTTGAGGTTGGGGAACTTATAAAGAAGGGGTGCCCAGTTCTGGAAGCTGGAAATTCTAAAAGCTGGTGGATGTTCCTGAGAAGAGTCTTATACTACTAATAAGCAGGTCAGAAGTTGGGAAGGCAAGTTGGTTTATGGTAATCTCCCCTCTTTTCATGAAAAAAAGGCACAAATGCCTTCCTCCTTCATGACTTAGACATATACCTCTCAGCTCCACCATGAAGAACACATGAACTTTTGAGACACATCACCAAAGCATAGTGATTGGCTTCCCATCGAACCTCCTCCCTTCTTCCTCCCTTCCGCGGAGCTGCGGGATCGCCAGCTCAGCCTCTTTGGGCGCTGGGATGGGTGCTAAGGGTAAAGGGAGGCGGGAGTGCTTTTGTTTTGGTAGCTTGCCTGCAGAAAGGTAGGCCTTTGGTCAGCAAGGTCCCTGGTGAATGGGGAACCTGGACCTGTTCCAGAAGACCCATCTGAGTGGTAAGTGTGTTCTTAATCCGCGGCAAGAGCCAGAAAACAGAACAGGGACATTCCCAGACCCCCTTGGCTCACCGATCATTCTGCAGGGACTGCTCCCCTCTGCTGGGGCTTTTCCCCTCTGCTATAACCTCTCTCTCCCTAGCCCATCCCATCATGCACCAGGAACATCCTCCCTTCTTCTTCCCTTCCGCAGGGCTGTGGGATCAGCCAACTCAGCCTGTTTGGGCGCCAGGACAGGTGCTGGGGGTAAAGGGCAGCGGGAGTTCCTTTGTTTTGGTAGCCTGCCTGCAGAAAGGTAGGCCTTTTGTCAGCGAGGTTCCTGCCGAACGGGGAACCTGGACCTGTTCCGGAAGACCCATCTGAGTGATGATACTTTTAAGAAGTAACTACACCTCACAGTACAGTGGGGGCTTTAATTGAGGAGTGTACAAAGCAGACTGAATGACTCATTTGGCCTCTGGAAAAGCAAGAATCTGGAATTAATTCAAAGGCAAGGAGGAACTTAAAACTTAAAGGCTATAAGGGAAAACTTAAATTTGCTTGGTGAAATTTGATACTGTATGTAAAGAGAAGCTCAAACATTCTAATATGAAGGTATAGAAGACACACTCTGAGGACTGCGAACATTTTCATAATGATGCATTTGTGGTGCTTTGGAAGAAGCAGACAGGAAAAGACTGACGAGTCAATTGTTGGAGTCCCTAAGTCCTAACCTAAGAAATTCACATTAACCCATGCAAAGGATGGAACTCAGAATACAAGGACAAAAAGAAGTCCTCATACACCTCAGAACTAGTCCCTACTCTTCTGTAGCTTGTCCTCAAAACATTCTTATAATTTTCAAATGGCAAAAACAACCACAAAGAGTAAAGTTTATAGGTATGGTAAATTATACATGGTAACAAATAAATTCTACATTCCCATTCCTTTCCCTGGCTTCTTCATCTTTCCCTTCTAACATTTTTACACTTTTTTACACTTTTTCCAAAATAGTCACAGTTTAGTTCTTTTCATGGCAAACCTATCACACTCAGCACAATATAACCAAGCAGATTCCCAGGTGTTTACAGACCCTTGGACTTTCCAAGTTTAGTTAAAACAATGGTATAGTATGTATGGTTAAGGGCACAGGGAATGGTAAGGAGTGGGCCAAACTGAGATGTATCATTTGTGAGAACAACAGCTTGTTCAGTTATGTATAATTGTTACTTTTGGAAATGCTATCTATGATTGTCAGATATTCTGTATTTTCATGGGAAAAATAGACTTTGCTAGCTTTCTATTGTGGTTTTTCTTTATATGCTTACCGTCCATTTATGCTCTTAAAAATAACTGTGACTCTTGCTGCTCTTGCAGAGGATGCAAGTTTAGTTCCGGGTACCAATGTTGGATGGTTCACAAGTGGCCTGTAATGTAAGTTCTAGGAAATCCTACACCTCTGGCCTTCTCATGAATCCCCACTGTGACACATAGGTTTATATACCCATGCACACACATGCACACAAGTGCATATATGTGTGTGTACTTGAGTGTGTATGTGTGTGTGTGTGTGTGTGTGTGCCCGACACTGAGAAAAGCCAGAAGATACCATGAAATCCCTTGGAACTGGAGCTATAAATAGTTTAGAGCCACGTCCTTTCCAAAAGCAGCAACTGAACCCAGGTCCTCTTAAAGAACAACAAATGCTCTTAATCACTGAGCCACCTCTCTAACAAATTAAAAAAATAAAACTTTATAAAACAAAAATAATAGTGGTTTGCATAGATGAGGGCCACATCTGTCCACTGGAGCTCTGTTGGTAAACTGAGTTAGCTCAACTTGTCATCATGGGTCTGGACTTTGAGTCGTATACTTAATGTTATGTCCCATGACAGCAGGGAACCCAGCCACTAAGAAAGTCACTATAAGACTTGACTGTGGTGTAGATGAGAAAAGACCTAAGTCAACCTGTGCACAGAGGAGTACAAACCAAGAAACAGGGGTCAAGAGCGCTATGAAGAGGTATCAGTTTCAGGTAGCAATAAAGAAAAAGTGGGCTCTGAGTGTTAATACAAAGAGATTTGAAATAGTCATGTAGTGTGAAGAACTGGGTTCAAATTTTCAGTGCCCCTATAAATACTAGATCAGTGTCACAGTCCATTTTCAAACCTAGCACTCTGGGGAATGGAGTCTGGGAACCCCCAGGGTAAACTGTCTTGCTAGGATAGTAAGCCAGTAACTTAGGGATTCAAGTGAAAGACCCTGTTCAATGAATAAGTTTGAGAGTGAACAATGAAGATATCCAGTATCAACCCCTGGTCTTCACAGGCACATACAAGCACCTCTCTACATGCCTGTACACACACATTTAAATATCAAATACACATATCCACACAAACCATACGTACACAAACACATATCAAAAAACAAATGTCAAAATTAAACATGCTATAATAAGTTTCTATTCCTGGAGTCCTTTGTGACTTTCACTTCAGTTCTTTGCCTGTATTTCTGAGGAATGGGGTTACCGATGATGTTCATACCTTTTAGATTACAGAGATACCACATTGGCTCCAAATTTTATTTAAAGGTTCCGCTCTCTAAAACTACAGTGCTGCTGGACTCCAGTCACTTTGTCAAGACATGGTTGGACTAGCCCATGCACAGAGGATAAACAGAGACAAGCATGGCTGGGACCAAGGGTGTATCCTGACCAGTAGTGAGTATGGTAGGAAAGAACACCTGAAAGACTGTGTCAGAGAACCAGCTAGTTTATTTGGAGAAGGCAAAGGAGAATTTCACCCTAGGAAGTATGGACGGCTTGGTCAATGTGGAGGTATATCATTGGTTGGGGCAAGAACATCTAGAGCACTTCATTTGCATACTCAGAGGCAATGGGGGGGGGCAGAAGAAGTAACTTTATAGGGTCCTATGGAAAAGAAAAAAGTTTGGCCTGGGATGTTTCTGTGGTTAGGTTAGCAGCAACCAGGTCCTGTAGCCTTGGAGATGTGAGCTTATCAGGTGCTATGTGCATGGGGCACAACCTGATTGGGAGAAGCCTAGCTACTGGGGTCTGCTAGTATCTGAGCGTGCCAGGGAACAGTCAAACTCTTGAAGCTCTCAGGATGAGAAAATCTGTTTTTTTAGGCATACTCTGACCCATCCTTAGCTTCAGGCCAGCCCCATAGTCTAAAGGTCATTAGGTACCCATTCTTCAAAACTTGATTATTTTTGTTCATAAAAATTTTCATGCTGAGAATCTCTTGTCCCCAGACTTTGTCTCCTTCCCTGCCCGACTTGTTCCACTTCCTTTCATGAACAGGGAGAGTTGTGGTCTTTCTTTTGCTAAATGTATCTCACTCTGAAAAAAAAAGCCAGATATTTGCCTAATTGTTTCCAGTTCATATGCCTTCTCAGATTAGGTGGATCAAAGAACTAAACTGATTACAAACAATCAAAAAGAGACAGGAGATGACTGAATGGGCTTTGTTTGCATTTGCACCTGCAGGTTTGTACTTCTATGTTCCTAAGGTCTATAAGGAGACTAATAGTTTCCTTCCTATGTACCATTTTATGCCCCCAATACTAGACATGTTATCTGATATATTATAGACAATAAACACTTGTTAAAAAATTGCAATTTGAATTCATTCAAGTAACAGAGAAGTTGGATTCACAATATAGATTTCTGAGTTTTAGCTTCAAGTGGGGATTTATCTCTCTGATTAGGTTTTAAATTATTGAGGTTAAGGGCTCTGTCTCTAGTAATGATACAAACAACTGGCTTGACATGGCATTGCTCATTAAAGTTTGGTCCCTTTCCTCCTACTTACCAAAGACTTGGACACTGTAGTTTCCTCAAAGATGAGGAAACCAAGTCTTTGTACAGTGAAACAATTTGTTCAGTGTATAGAGTCTGTAACTTGTGCAGAATGGATTTGAAACACTGGTTGTCAATGTGCAGTGTCCTGTTCATCTAGGGAATTATCCCCTAATCACATTGAGTAATTTCTGTGAATTTAAGTAGGAAAAGAACTACCAAAGTCAAGGTGACCTCTTTGAAGCCCAGCCGATAGTCTACAGAACTTGCATCATCCTAGGCCTGGGACTTGGAAGTAAGGGCAATAGGCAGGACTCAGATCACTGTCTAGAGACATGCTATTTTTCAATTAATGCATATTAAATTTCTTCTGGATGTTCCATATTGAATTATCTCTATTTTCTGAGTCTACCACTGTAAAATTTCTTTTCCCAAGTAAACTTATTTTTACTTTCCCCTTGTCAACATATTAAAAAATTATCAAAGATGCTGTACTTTCAAGGACAATCAATTTTTACTTACAGGGAAATGTTAGGAGTGAGAGGTTGACTCCTAACATCATGGAACTTGTTGGATGGAAATCATGGCCTTGTCCGCATATAGGCTGCCCCAATACCCCCATCCCACCAATCAGACCCTATAGGCTACAAGTCCCACTCTACCCTTAAGCCCTCCTATACTCCCCTGCCCTGCAACCTCAGAGGAGCTCTGAAACACATGCTGCAAATTCACAGCTGGTACCATGAGGTGAGTGACCACCCATCCTATGGAGCAACCCACTCTCTAGGCCCTCCATACCTGGGTAGAATCCTAGACTCCTCCCCCACCTGCATCAGCTTCTCTAGCAAACCAACAATCAAGCTTCCTACTGGTCAGTTGCTTTAACACCCCCCACCCCATCAGTAAGACCCTGGAAGCTACAAGTTACACTCTACCCCCAAAAACTTCTATCTCTCTATCTCCCCAAACCTTAGAGAAACACAGAAACACAAGCTGCAGATACACATAGAGGACCAAGAGAGAGGATCAAGAGAAGAACCTTGAAGCACAGGCTGTGACTACACAGAGAGGACCAAGAGAGGACTCTGAATAACAGGCTGGATGGCACAGAGTGGACCAAGAGAGCAGACCAAGAGAGTTGCACAGAAGAGTCCTCAGGGTCTCCCTGAGACTCAGACAGCAACAGTAAAAAGCAGATTAAGAACAGTTCCCAAAGACACAGCTACTTCAAGGATTGGACCAAGAAGCAAAGACACTGCCAGCACCAATTAGAGGAAGAGATGGGTAGGCACCAATGCAAGAATTCATTCAACAACCTAAAAAGCAACATGGTAACACAAGAACCCAGTGGTCATACAGGAAGACTTAACCATCCTAACCCAGAAGAAACCAAAGATAAATGGTTTTAAGCATAACTTTATGAGTATGGTAAAGACCTTTAAAGAGGAAGTGATCTGGGCAGTGGTGGTGCATGCCCTTAATCCCAGCACTTGGGAGGCAGAGACAGGTGAATCTCTGAGAGTTTGAGGCCAGTCTGGTGTATAAGAGCTAGTTTCCAGGACAGGCTCCAAAGCTATAGAGAAACGTGTCTTGAGAAACCAATCAAGCAGCCAGTCAATCAATAATTAGGAAGTAAAAAATTCCCTTAAAGAGATGGAGGAAAAGACAAACAAAATTTGGAAGAAATCAATAAATCTCTCAAAAAAACATAAAAAAATAATCAAACAGGTGAAGCAAACAGTTCAAACAGTTCAAGACTTGAAGACTGAAATAGACGCAATAAGGAAAACACAAACCAAGAGTAATCTGGTTATGGAAAATCTGGGAAAACAAACAGAAACTACAGAGGCAAGCATACCCAACAGAATATAAGAGATGTATGAGAGAATCTTGGGTGTTGAAGATAATACAGAGGAAATAAATTCATAGGTAAAAGAAAATATTAAATCCTAAAATTTCTTAACATAAAACATCCAAGAGATCTGGGACACCATGAAAAGACCAAACCTAAGAATAATCATAACAGGAGTTAACAGCCACTGGTCATCAATATGTCTTAATATCAATGGACTCAATTCAACTATAAAAAGGCACAGGCTAAGAGAATGGATATGAAAGCAGGATCCATCCTTCTCTTGTATATAAGAAAGACATCTCAACATAAAAGACAGATATTAGCTCAGAGTAAAGGGTTGGTAAAAGAATTTCCAATCAAATGAACCAAGGAAAAAAAAGCAGGTGCAGCTATCCTAATATCTAAAAAAAAAAATTAGACTTCAAATTAAAAGAAATGAGAAGAGACAGAGAAGGACACATTATACTCATAATAGGAACAATCCATCAAGAGAAAGTCTCAATCCTGAACATCTATGCACCAAATACAAGAGCGCCACATATGTACAAGAAACATTACTAAAGTGTAAATCACACATCAAACCCCACACACAAAGAGTAAGAGATTTCAATACACAAACCCCACACACAAAGAGTAAGAGATTTCAATACACCACTCTCC